TTCCACAAAAACTGCCACTGAAAATTCGTGAAACTTTCAGAGTTTGGGAAACCGAAACCCTTTAATTTGTTATGGTTTTGGTTTGTTTTAAATGAATGGCATTTGGAGGTACTGGACACTCGTATGAGTGAACATGCTGAGCATGTTCAGAGCTGTTGTTGAAGAATATGTTTGCCAGATTAGTGGATAAATATTGTGCAATCCTAGATTTAGTTTCTCTGCTATACCAAGGAGTCACATAATTCCTTGCTCCAAATGAAATGCAAGAAAGCTACTTTTCAAAGGGAAGTTGGTGTGCTGTGTTATCCCTTTTGTAGTCTCATTCACTCTAGTTCTGATGAACATGCTCTTCTGAAGGCCAGGTGAAAATACATCGTTCTCACTCCGTGTGCTGGGGACTCACCCACAAAATACTCTCATCAAGCATATTTTTCTTTCTCTCTCTCATGACCAACTGAGTCAGTGCACCTAGTCAGCACCTGGCAAATATTGTGCCTTACAAACACAAAATAGGCCACTGCAAATCCCACATGAGGATAAAGTCCATTGCTCACTCAAGTTGTCATCTAAATCAAGTGTAGAAGTTAGGAATGAGGTCAAGTGGTGATTATTTCTTCATTAGTTCTTCCACCCTCTTAAAACTGGAGATGGCTCTTCTAGTACACTAGAATTGAAAAGCTGCTTTTTCCTTTAATCATCTGCAACCATTTGCATCTCAGCCACTAAGATAATAACGTTGCTTATTTTCCATATCCCATAAAAAGGAAGGGAAACCTCTTAGGAAGGTAGTAGCACTGGAAATTCTACATGCAGTGAACTAAAAAGACTGTCTCTACACCCAAAGCCCATTCTAATTATTTTTGGGAACCAATTTCTCCAGTTGTGAGAAATGGTATCCTATTAGTATCAATGGCTCTGCTTGTCTGAAACACAAAACATGTCCTGGGTGCTGGCCAGGGCTGCACAGAGTTCTTTGGGCTCTGAGGTTTGAGACAACTTCAAATTAAGGATCTGCTGTTTGCTTTCCATTTCTTTTTCACTTGCTTTTTCAGACTTTTAGTTACTCTTTTAGTTACTCTTTACTCTTTTACTCAGTAAGATGTAAATTAATGAGTTGAATAAATCAGAGTCTTTCATATCATGCATCTAGAGTGGGGGTTTCTTTAGAGGACAGAAGCTAATCTTAGCAGTTATTATAGTAAACTGATGTAAGTGTTTGGAAATTAGTAATTTGAACCATGTCAGAGGTATTTCAACCTTTCTGTTCTAGGTCAGATCTTATCAGATTTATGCTAATATATCTGCATTTTCAATAAGTAGTTTTCATGTTTAGTGAAGAATGTTGTACTGTCTTTTCTTGATAAGGACATTTTCTATGCTGTAACAGATGTAGGAAAGACATGATGAGTCTGGAAAATAGATTGGTCTGTAGCCTGTGCTCTGATTTTGATCTTTGCACCCTGGTTGATCTTCTGCAGTTTGGTTTAGCCTTTTGTTCTTACTGTGTCTATTCATAGGTCTTCCAAACCATCACTGCTCCTTGGGTTAGCTGTCTCAGGGTTTCTGGCCAAAATTAATTTACACTTAATATGAATAGTTAATACCCATCTGTTCTTGCACCAGCATTGCCCTCAAGGTATAAATAGCTCTGCTTCATGGACATCGTGTCTGCTCTCAGTCCTTGTCTATCACAGTTACTGTAAAACTCTATTTAGTCTCCTCTTGTAAGATGGGCTCTCCATTCCCTCATGTGCCTCACAGCACTGTCCTTGTATCTGCTTCTGTCTCAATGTTGCTTCTTCCAGCAAAGCATTCAGAATGATTACTGACTTGGTTAGAGACATAACATAGACACTTTTCAGAGGTCTTCCAAAATACCTGTGGTAGAGCTGGAAACAGCCATACCTACCCTTCTCCCCTTTGCTTTGACTGGTAGAACTTGCTTCTTTTGATTTGAACACCAGTGTTCTACATTCTGCAGTTGGGCAGATTTTATGTCTCCTCTTTTTCACCTTTACCGGGGAACCAGGTGTTTTGACAACGTGTTGACTGATCGTGTCTTTCTGTTTTTCCAGGGAGGCTCAGCTTTCTCTCCATCATCCATTATCACTACAAGGAGAGCACAGACCCAAGCTGCAGTCCTGGCTGAAGATGTGGGATGCCCTTCATCCACCAGTGAGGAAATTGTAGCCTGCCTCCACCGATTGCCTGCTCGTGTCCTGAATGATGCACAGACTAAGGTAAACCACAGCAACATACACACCACTGGCAAGGAATCAAAATGTTTCCATTGACATAAAGCTGTGAGGAAGCTTAACAAATTAATTAGGCTCAATCCTTGTGAAAGAGGAACTGGACTAGTGTTGGTGGAGGGATGCTGACGTCCATGACATCCACCTCGGAGCGGTGAATACTGACAGCTCGATTCTCCTTTAGACTAAATTCCTTGTACACTGCTTTGACCATGTCTTTTAAAATAAATCTAAATATAGTTTTTTTCCTTCTTTCAGTTCCCTCTCATCTGCCCCTGCGTGTTACTCTAGAGGAAAGTCAAGTGTCTGTAGATTCAATAACTGAATTTATGCAGAAAAGGAAGTGGGGGAGGATGTCAGTGTTCTGTATCTGAAGTGGGAGACTTGTGAAAACTGCAGTATAAATAATTCCAGAGATGGATCCTTTACTCACAGATTAAAACACCCACTGGTAATACATTGTGTGATCAGGACCAGTGTAGAGCCAATCCATAAATTAAAACAACGTTTTTGTGACTATAAGACCATCAATGCTCTTGGCCTCTTCAGCTCATTTCATCTACTGAGACTGTCAGCAAAACTATTGTTTCCTGCTAAGGATGAGTTTGCACTTATACTAGCTGTGATCACTTGTTCACTTGAAGGGTATCTGATCAGTTGTTTTAAGCCTAAATAAAAATGGAAATGAAAGGTAAGCTTTAATGCAATTTAAATTTAATTTAATTTAGTTTAATTTAACTGCACCATTCTTGCTTTTTTTTTTTTTTAACATAGCTGCTAGCTATAAGTGGCCCATTCCAGTACTGGGGTCCAGTGATGGATGGGATTTACCTTCAGGAGCCTCTAGCTAAAGCCCTGCAGCGCCCTCAGCTTCGGAAAATAGATCTGCTCATTGGAAGTGCTCAGCAAGATGGGCTCATCAGCAGAGCTAAGGCAATTAAGGTAGGAAGAGACTCACTCTTAATGAACTGATGGTATTATATTACTGTGATTATAGCAATGACAGTAATCATATGCAACAAGGACAGATGCTTTTTAATTTCTACAAATTGTGACTTATACTCCATGGAAATACGCAAACACATTGTCCATCTTCAGCCAGCCCTTTTCAGTCTGACTAATGGGATCATTATATTTGTTGATTAACATTTCTGGGGGTGATATGAAAGGGTTAGAGATCAGCATTGATTTAGTACATGTGTTTTACTGTCTCTAAAATCCAATTTGCTTTTTAATCTTAGTTGTATTACACAAAGAAGAAAGTAAGCTTATAACTTGGTTATGAAGTTCTTCACTTTGCAGCAGGATTAAGTCAGCATTTTAGGGTTGTTTTTTTTGCAAGCATTTTTCTCTGTTGCCTTTAAGAAGTATGTTTTGTTGTAAAGATGATTCTGAATATGGACTAGCTATAACTAAGAATGGCACTGGTCTGGTGTGTGGGCAAAGGTTTCAGGTCATAAACTGATGAAATGAAGAAGAATTGCATCAATGCTGTATCTTGGACATAAAAGTCCTCAAAAACCTGCAGGTCTACCCAGAGAGATTTTATGTCTTCTTGTGAGCCCTCTGGCACTGTCTGTTCCTGAGACAGCCGTATCAATCTCTTCTAGTTCATTTATCCTTCTTTATGATAGGAGAAATAGTTCTTCTCTGTTTAACAGTGTCAAATTTAATTATATGTTAGAATGTTCTCAGATATTCTGCTAAGAAATCAACAGGGGTTTTTTTTTAGGCTTTTCTGAGTGAACTGCAGATCTGTTGCTATCTTGTGGTAACTGTGGATTTCATCTCTTAGAAACCAGTGAAAGGTCAATCCAAACTTCTCTTTGCTGGTAGCAAATAGCACATAGACCAATTTACTTCAGAATTAGTGGCAAAAGTACTCCTCTGAACAACCTGAATGAAGTTCATATTACTTGTTTGGTCTCCATCAGAAGTTTCCTGCTCTTATTTAATGTAGCTTTCTCTTCTGGAATCAATTAAAAGAGGAAGTCAGAGGAGGAAGGCACAGGAGATGTACTGTGATGCTGTAGGCCTGCAGATAATGATCCAGACTGTGAGAGGGGAATAAACCTCAGTAACCTCATTACAAGTCTTGTGATGAAGACTAGGAAGTGAAATTCTTTCCTTTACCACTGTTTCTGCATATGACAGTTGTCTGCAAAACTGAGATGAAACTTCATGATGTATTTAAAATTTTGCAACAAATCATGGTGTTGGTGAAAGGCACAAGTGCTAAATCTCAGCACTGTCAGCTTGAAATGAAAAGGAAAAGCACTTGTAATTGAGAGAGCAGAAGTAAAATACTGCTTTTGAAAACAGAATATCTGAAATATCTTATTTATTTAAAGGCTCGCAGAAAATAAGATTGGAAGGGAACTCAAAATGTTGGTGCAACTCAACCCTAAGAAAGGGTCATATCTACCTCAACATGAGACCCATTTGGAAGTTTTCTGATCTCTTTTGGAAAGGGTTGTTATAGAGTCATAGAATGGTTTGGGTTGGAAGGGGCCGTTAAAACTCATCTAGTCCAACCTACCCTGCAATGAGATGGGGTACTCAGAGCCCTGCCCAACCTGACCTTCAGTGTTTCCAGGGATGGGACATCTGCCACCTTTCTGGGCAATCAATGCCAGTGATTCTCCACTCTCATTCTAATAAACTTCTTCCTTATATCTAGTCTAAATCTATCCACTTCTAGTTAAAATCTATTACCCCTTGTCCTATTGCAACAGGCTCTACTAAGAGGTTTGTCCCCATCTTTCTTATTAACTAGCCTATTAAATGTTAAAATTTAACTATCCTTACTTAGAAGGATAACTAACTTCTTTGCTAGTTGTTATAGTGTTTCCAGGGACATCTGCCACCTTTCTGGGCAATCAATGCCAGTGATTCTCCACTCTCATTCTAATAAACTTCTTCCTTATATCTAGTCTAAATCTATCCACTTCTAGTTAAAATCTATTACCCCTTGTCCTATTGCAACAGGCTCTACTAAGAGGTTTGTCCCCATCTTTCTTATTAACTAGCCTATTAAATGTTAAAATTTAACTATCACATCTGCCACCTTTCTGGGCAATCAATGCCAGTGATTCTCCACTCTCATTCTAATAAACTTCTTCCTTATATCTAGTCTAAATCTATCCACTTCTAGTTAAAATCTATTACCCCTTGTCCTATTGCAACAGGCTCTACTAAGAGGTTTGTCCCCATCTTTCTTATTAACTAGCCTATTAAATGTTAAAATTTAACTATCCTTACTTAGAAGGATAACTAACTTCTTTGCTAGTTGTTATAATGATACCTACCATACTTGGCACTACTGCTATAAGTGAAATTCCATCTGTGTTCCAGAAAACTCATAATGTTCCTGGTAGGTGCTTCTATTCTTTGTTTGACTTTCTTAAGCTGTTTTGATGGTCTTAGTAGAACTGACATTTTTTTTTGATGCACATTTCCCACTATTTCTATTTTCCTATAGCTTCAGGTTTTTAGGGCTTGAGGGAATATAAGTATTTTGACTCGTCTGTGTTCCTGTCTGGATTGCTTTCTTGAAGACTTACTTCAAAGTTAGTTTCCTGATTTCTCCCTTTTCAATGCAGTTAGTGTATTCATAGAATCATAGAATCATCCAGGTTGGAAAAGATCTGTAAGATCAAGTCCAGCCATTAACCTGGCACTCCACTGTACCATATCTTCCAGTGCCAGGTCCAAACAAACACTTAAATGCTTCCAGAGATGCACTACCTTCTTGGGCAACCTATACCAATGCCTGACCACCCTAAGAGTGAAAAAACTTGTATAATATCTCCTTTAAATCTCCCCTATTAATTGCTATGGAACTGTAATGCTCCTTCTGTCATTGAGCTATTTAAGAACATGTATTCTCTGGGTCCTCATGGTTCCAGTCAGTCAGATGATGAAGTCCTAAGTAAGCCACAGACATATTTAGCTGCAATTACAGAAACTAGCGTGAGTGGTGGTTCTTACCGAGAGGTCTGTGCCCTATTTCCTCTATCATAATGTTGTAAGGGATCTTCCATCTGTGCTAAATGTCCTCTCCCCACAATAGACCTCGAGGAAGGATTTGAGACAACCTGCATTGTATCGCACTTTTCTACTTCAATCATTTTCGAAGGTTCTCTTGAGATACGTCTGACTTGCATCAACCTGAAGCTGGTTTTACTGATACACTAAGGAATGTGGGAAGTCTCAGCTGGTGGACAGAACTCAGCTGGGGAACCATGGCCTGGTTTGCCTCGGACTACAACCAATGTATTTAATCTATTCTACAAAGAGGGGCCCAAACCTCTCTGAGGAGAAAATCCATCTGTGGTTGTGCTCCAACTCTGTAAAGAGAAGAATTATGCCTGTATTTGGGTTGGAAGATCCGATGGCAAATTCCTTCATTTCCATCTCCTTTACAATGACTGATTTCACTGTAGTCAATGCAAAGAGTGGAGGGTAGAAATATTTAACCCTTCCTGACTTGTTCCACCAGTTCCTGGGAATAACTGTGCTGGCTAATTCAGTCAAGGACTTGCTCTATTAATCCTGATCTCTGTTAATCCTGAACCTGTGGATGGTGATGAGACACTTTGAGCCATTTGGATGTAAGAAAACTTGTGACGTGATGCAAATCTTACCATGTTAGACAAGGGTTGCAAGCAGGTTTAATGAACTCTTAGCAGTCAAATCTTAGGAGTGAGAGTAAATCCTATTGAAGTGCTGATGTGGGTCCAGAGAAGAACAACAAGGTAAGGAGAGGCTGAGGGAGCTGGGGGTATTTAGCCTGGAGAAGAGGAGGCTCAGGGGAGACTTTATCACCCTCTACAACTCCCTGACAAGAGGTTGGAGTCAGGTGGGGGTTGGTCTCTTCTCCCAGGCAACCAGCAGCAGGACAAGAGGGCACAGACTCAAGCTCTGCCTGGGGAGGTTTAGGTTAGATATTAGGAAGAGATTTTTTACAGAGAGAGTGATCAGACATTGGAATGGGCTGCCCAGGGAGGTGGTGGGTGCACCATTCCTTCAAGATGAGACTGGATGTGGCACTTAGAGCCCTGGTCTAGTAACTATGGTAGGGTTGGACTTGATGATCTTGGAGGTCTTTTCCAATCTAGTTGATTCTATGATTCTATGATTCTCTAGACTGTAACCAGAACTGCAGGTGGTAAACCCAGTTGGCACCATGTTGTTCTATAGGGGTTTACTGGCATTTGGTTGTGTTTGGAGTCTCTGCACTCCTGCTGCAACACTGTGCTTATGCCCATTAAGGTCTTTGCTATTAAAAATTAAATAGACAAAAGTCACCTTTATGTACCAGCAAAACATTTCTGTTTGATTTACTTACAATTAGACGCTGAGGTCTCTCAGTGATGCTTGCTGCAGAGTGTATGTTGTGCTCAATATCTTGCCTGTGGGAATGACCATTTTATGCCTTTCACTGGACTGCTTATTCATGTGAACTGAGACAGATTCACCACTTCCTGGAGCAGTTTCTACTCATCCCCAGTGTAGACATCAGATGGTTGAAACTAAGTGAGAAACAAAGAATTTATTAAGGGAATGGCAAGCAGTACCATAATGCACTATTATGTGGCATATGGAGCAGTTAAGCTTGAACCCATTCACTGCAATTCCCATGTCAGACCTTCAGGGATATTAGCTTTGAGCAGTCATAGATTAGGGCAGCTGAGCAGAAACCTCTAAAAATGTTGATTTCAATTCCCAACTGGACAGAATTTTATCCCTGCGCTATATGTGATGCTCAGGTGGGAGGACCTAATGGCATTAAATATATGGATTCATTCATGCTGCTCTATGTCTGTGTTTGTCTATAGATGGATGTAGGTCAGTATAGCCCTGTTTATATCCTCCATCTGTTCTTTCTTTTTCTTTCCCTCCTCAATACAATCTAGTTGGATGCAGAACCCAAAACCATTGGGGAATGTATAGATAGAAATCTAGTTTATTTACCTTGTGTAAGCAACTGGATCTATGTAGACTACAATTTCCATTCTGCACTATACTACAGTCAGTGAATTTCTTTATGGATTAAGGTTTTCAGCAATATACAGCAGATGGCAGATACATGTATATTTATATTAATGACCAGGGGAGCAGTGTCATGATAACTGCTGTCAGTGAGGAGAATGGACTGATATCAGCTCTTTGCTTCATCTTGCAACTAGTTGAAATTCTTGGAAGAATGCTGAATGGCTGTCTGATCTTTCACTGTCTTTTGTGACAGTATTTATCCAAAGCCATTTAAGGCCTGAGATCTATACATACTCTGTTAGTGTTATCACTATTCCAGTTTGTCAGAAATGTGCATTTTTCCCCTTGGAAGATGTAAGTGCTTGGTGTACCTGCTGCTACAGTTTATTTCTATATAAAACACTGGACCAGTTTCATTCGTATGCTCCAGAAGATATACTGCAGCAGTAAGAACAGTAAGCATTATTTAACTCATTGTTTAGGCAATGTTTATGATGGCTTTGCATCACCAGGAGAGTAGAAAGGGTGTCTTTAATAATTTTCTTACTTTCTAAAAAAGGTTGAAAACCTCACTATAACTCTGAGGTCAGTTGCTAAAGCCTCTGTAAAGGTTAGCAGAATGTAAATGATTTTACATAATGTGCAGCTGTTTCTATTAATCTGGTAGCAGCTGTTGTATCTACTGTGATTTGAAATTTGTTCCTTGGTCATATATTTTCTAATGGGAAACATTTGTTGGACATGGAAAATTGGTTGAATTGAATCAGTTTCTAAGAAGTTAAAATTCTTTGCCTTTTTAATGTTTAATGAATTTTATTTTGACCATATTGCTTTGCTTTGTACTATCATGATCAAGTCAGATGTTTAAATTATATTATATTGTAGCCAAAGCAACACTTGAGAAATTGTTTCAGATTGTGCTATTTTAGTTCTGCTTGGGGGATGAAAAAATCTTAAAATGTCTTACAAATGTCAGTTCTGTTCGTCATCCATCTCTGCCTGTTGAGTCCTCTTTCATCTGACTCAACACATCTCAGAGACCCCATTCTATTATCAAATATTGCTGAAAGAGGTCAGCAGAGTTTTGGGGGCATTTTGAAGATCACAGAAACTAGTACGTAGGCACACTTAAAACCTTAGACCAACTGGGCTGAGTCACATCAAAGGCCCATGTAACACGAAATGTTGTTTTCAGCAGTGGTTAGAAGTGGCTGTTTGTAAGAGCAGGCTAAGCCAACCTGTTACTTCTGCTAAATGCTCTCCAAACCTCTAGTACTTTGAATCTCAGGGACTTCCTAGCCTGAATTGGTCTTTCTGTATCTGATAACCTCAAATTATTATTATTATTTTAAAAAATATTTAAGATTCTGAAACCTGTTCATGAAACGTCAGCAATTTTGGCATTCACAAAACCATGTGGCAAAGAGTTGTTCAGCTTACCCATGTGTTGTATGATGATCAATCTGCTTTTGTGTGTTTTTCAATCTTAATATTTATTTGATGCTGGGTCATTGAGGGATCCATTCCTAGGGTGCATAATCAATACCCTAAGGAGATTTTTCCTCTTTATTTGTCTCTGTTTTACGTATCTATGACAGGTGTAGAATAAAGGTAATAAACCCATTTTAAAAAGCCAACTAAATGAAAGCATTGCATGAAAGTTGCTCTGAACAGGATGCTTTTCACGTAAGAACTTGGGCTTTGCACTGCCATTGAAAAGCACCTGTTCATACCTATAGCTGCTTGTGAAATCCACAAGGCCCTGTCACTGAATGAGAGTTTCCTAATCAGAGATCAACAATGCTGGTGAGTGGAGAACCTGAAGTGGTGTGTGCTGAAGTTGATGGAAACATTGGTTTTGAATTCTGTGAACGTGCAGTCAGGTCTTCAGTGACCACTACTATTGCTTGCAGAAAAAAATATACGTGTCCTTGCTGTATTTAAGCTGAATGATTTTGCAGGCAAGTGTGCTATGCAGTTTCATATGTGGCATTTGTGCACATGAAGTGACGTGTCATGAGTGAGTTGTCCATCTTTTTTTGAAGTACAGCTGTATTTCTAAAACTGGCACCACATGACTTTCATATTGCATGGGCCAAAATCTAGCAAAAGAAGAATTTATTACAAATACAAGGAAAATTGCCAAGATCTTCTTGGACCTTGGGATATTTGGTAGTGTTTTGAAATCCTTTATAAAGTCACTTAATCAAAATGCATGGAGCATTAGAATATGTCACTAAGGACAAACCTCAGCCTCAGCACATGGGGACTTATTTTCCATCTTTCATTTCTGTGAATCTATTGAAAAGTAATTATCCCATCTGTACTTTCTGTATAGGACTGTGGAAAGACCTTCTAGCAGTGTGATGAAAAACAGCTGTGGGCCATCAAAATAATATATTCAGTAAAGCATCTATGGTAACTGGACTGGGCAGACACTGGCCTATTTTGCATCAGACTGACTGCCCAAAATAATAGAGATGGTTTATTAGATCTTTTTCTCTGGAGTTCTTATCCAAGTTTCAGCCAGTATGCACCTGCATGGAGCACTCTCTAGAAAGGACTTGAGCCACAGGAAAGTTCAGGGTACATGTGTTGGGTTTTTTTTACAGGAAGTTGCTCTGTTTCTGAACTTGAAGTAAATTATTTTTTTTTAAAAAGTGAAAATTCTGAATTGATAAAATGAAAAGCTTCCTCAAAGAAAGTTGTGTTGAAAACTTCCATCAGTCCTTAGCTTTGGTAAAAATGAGTTTGGATATGCAGTTTGGCATAGGTGACAATCCCTGTGCTATCAGTAGCTCTGTTCTGGGGAATGTGCCTTTATGTCAGGAAAGGTTTCAGACCACAGATCTCAGGTAAAATGCATTTCCCTGTAGGCCTCTTTGAAAGGCCCTAGGGGTTATGAAATTTGAAGAACATGGTTGCTCCTTGCATTGGGACTTTGAGGAACAGGATTTCACTTCTAGGGCTAAAGCAGGTGTTATTCCAGAAGGGACCTAAATACAGAACTTGTGGCAGTCACATTTCTTTGTAGGTGTTTCAAGAAGGGGTAGAGTGACATAGTCATGAAATGGCTATACAACATTCTTGCTTTCTGGAACTTCCAAAGGAAAGGAGCAATATCTCTCTCTCTCCCCTCTAGTTTTCCTTCAGGGAGCTCATCAGAAAGACAGCATTGGACACACCTACAGTGGAGAACTCTGAGAGCCAGCAGGATTTCTATACTGTTAGAGTTCCATCTGCACAGCATCGTACCTAGAATTTGGACTTAGTAGATCAGTGATTTGGTCCTATAGTATGTTTTGGGGAAGCCAGTACTACTGGTTGGTGACAGTCTTGGGAAAGCAAAATCAGGTCTGTCCCCTATTTCTTGCCCTAGAAATCAGAGATCACAGCAGAGACTCATTCCAGCAGAGGGAGATCTGAGCCCATATTGTTCCACTAAAAAAGTCTTGATTTTGTTTCTAAATTCCATGTATGCATTTTGTTCTCAGAAATTTGAAGAAAGTCAAGGAAGAGCCAACAGCAAAACTGCCTTTTATCAGGCTCTGCAAAATTCCCTAGGAGGGGAAGACTCCAACTCATTCATTGAAGATGCAGCTACGTGGTATTACTCCCTCGAACACTCAACTGATGATTATTCATCCTTTTCTAGGGCTCTGGAAAATGCCACCCGGTAAGAAAGTCATCCTATTACAACTATGTGATTGGGGGTTAAGCAAGGTTTGTTTTGATTATCTAAAGTATGCATCTCTATTCTGAAAAACCCGAGAAATTCTTATGTAAATGTACAGAAAATGGGCAATATGATTTCATTTTCTGTGAGGTTTCCAACATCACTGGTAAACAGAAATCAAACCGATTTTTATGCCTTGTGAAACATTTGACGTGTCCTTCCTGAACTGTATATTTGGTAAACAGAAATCAAACTGATTTTTATGCCTTGTGAAACGTTTGACGTGTCCTTCCTGAACTGTATATTGGATACAAACTACTGATGCTTCTTTGTACATTCTTTCATGTTAAAGATGTCTGGGTTGTTTGCATACTCTGCATCAGCTATTCCTTGATCAACTAATCCTCATTTCTGTGACACTAGAAGAACTAATACCCTGGCTTTTATTCCCAAATGGTTACCTAAATATGCAGTCAGATACTTTTCCTTGGTGGTCAAGTTTGAAAACTTCGATTTTGGCAACTAGATTAATTTTTTTTATTATGAAACCTGCAAAATACATTTCTTCCCAATGTCAAGCACAACTTGTAGCCATTTGCTCTTGCTTGTTAGGTGGGAGAAGAAACCAGCCTGCAACTCACTACCACCTCCTTTCAGATAGTTGTAGATAGCAATAAAGTTCTCCCTGAGCCTCCTTTTCTCCAGGCTAAACATCCCCAGCTCCCTCAGCTGCCTCTCATCACACCTGTGCTCCAGACCTTTCACCAGCACTGTTGCCTTTCTCTGGACACACTCCAGCACCTCCTGCATAACAGTATATACCTTCAGTATATACACTCCTATACTTTGCATCGGAACATTGCATGGACCATTGGGAGGTGGAAGATGAGCTGTGGGCCGTGTTCACACCACCTAGTATATATGCATAGCTTCAGCTCTTAATTGAGTATGGCATCAGCATCCAGCAGTTCTAGATAACAGTGTGAAGAGTTCATTGCCTTGTTGAACTAGGACTCCACAGCAGTCAGGACACCTATGGTCAGTCATAGGGCCTGGTGGATGCCTTTAGCTTGGGTCACACGCTATTTTGATGTGCAGAGAAGGCTGTGGAGTTTGCTGTCTCCTCCATGGGCAGCAGGTGTACTTTAGCCAGTTGAAGATCTTGAGCTTGGAGTGGAGTGAAGGGGGGGGGCTTTTTTGTGAAAGGAGGCAAACTGAGGAGAATTTCCTTACCTCCTGTTTCCTGCCTCTGTGCAAACTTGGGGACTGAATGTTTAAGTGGAACAGATTTTCCAAAAATTAATCAAAAAACTCCTCCCCTATTCCTATCTCTGCTTCATGAGCAGATTCATTATGAAAACTCTACATTTCTAATGGGATGTGGTATATAAACTGGTGGTTTGAGTCCTAATGTGCCTGCCCAAGATGTTTCATCTCTGTTCTGAACTGAGACATCATAGCTACAAGCTATGTTATGTGCACGCTCAGTGTTAAGTTTTCTGTCCCACTGTGAGCCTCTCTGTGACACGTCAGAGACAGGATTTTCCTTTCATTCCTCCATCAGAGCTCCAGAGTGTTGCTCTAGGGGAACCTTAGGGAGCAGGAGATGAACAGGAGCCAAGATTCACTTGGAAACATCTGATCCAAGCAAGTGGACAGGAGTTTCTGGGTGGTCCAGGTGTGCCGGTGTATTGAGGTCATACAGTAAAGAAGCCAGAAGGATGTGGGCTGAACTTTGTGCCATTTAATGACTCTTGCACTATGCTGCATTTGTCCTGCCTTGTAGCCTGTCCCAGGGACAGGCCACTCATCGCTGTGGAGTCTGGGGCTACTGCCTGCAGTACACACAGTAGCACTGTGGTTCATGAACATTAAAGCCAGAACTTGTCTTCAGTCACTTTCCATCACCACTGTTACCCATGGAGATATAATTCTTCAGTCAGATGAGCAAGGTTTAAAGCCATAATAAACAAAGGACTTATATTTTAACTCTTCTTGCCAACCAGATATATCTCCTAGCGGAGTTATTATAACACAGGACTCTCACATTTGATCATCCACATTCAGCCCAGGGCTCAGGATGGTGCAAACACTGACTTTTGCAAAGCTGTAAGGGCTGGCACACTGCTTACTTCCAGCAGGAAGGTGATACATCAGGAGCTCCTCAGGCTCTCAGCCTGTGAGCACCCATGGCAGCCTCCTGGGCGTAGGGATCACCTGCTCCTTTATGATACGAGGCAAATGCCTTGGCTAAAGAAAGAAGTGAATGACTTAGAGAGTCACCACAAGCAAGCAGAAGAATGAGTAGCAAAACCAGGAAATCTGATTATAATCTTTTGCTTTAAACACTTTGGAAATTACTCCAGCCACAGCAGAAAGGGAGGGGAGACAGCAGGTACAGAATGACAGTCACCTACATCAGTATCATAGAATCATAGAATCAACCAGGTTGGAAGAGACCTCCAAGATCATCAAGTCCAGCCCTACCTTGATTACTAGACCATGGCACTATGTGACACATCCAGTCTCGTCTTGAAGGGATGGTGCATCCACCACCTCCCTGGGCAGCACATTCCAATGCCTGAGCACTCTCTCTGTAAAAAATTCTCTTCCTAATATCTAACCTAAACCTCCCCTGGCAGAGCTTGAGTCTGTGCCCTCTTGTCCTGCTGCTGGTTGCCTGGGAGAAGAGACCAACCCCCACCTGACTCCAACCTCCTGTCAGGGAGTTGTAGAGGGTGATAAGATTTTCCCTGATGAACCTCCTCTTCTCCAGGCTAAACCTCAGCTCCCTCATGTCACATCTGTAGTGGAGAAAAGAGCAGATTGCTTCTGGTTTTTTGCTGTTTTGTTGGTTTAGTCTTCTTTTCTTTTCTTTTCTTTTTTTCTTTTCTTTTCTTTTCTTTTCTTTTCTTTTCTTTTCTTTTCTTTTCTTTTCTTTTCTTTTCTTTTCTTTTCTTTTCTTTTCTTTTCTTTTCTTTTCTTTTCTTTTCTTTTCTTTTCTTTTCTTTTCTTTTCTTTTCTTTTCTTTTCTTTTCTTTTCTTTTCTTTTCTTTTCTTTTCTTTTCTTTTCTTTTCTTTTCTTTTCTTTTCTTTTCTTTTCTTTTCTTTTCTTTTCTTTTCTTTTCTTTTCTTTTCTTTTCTTTTATTTCGTAATTTTGTTTCTTTTTAACAAAAAACTTAGTACCAGCATAGATGTGTTAGCCCAGAAAAGTTCCATGTTCAGGAAGTGATAATTAACTGCTAAAGTTTTAATAGGATTACAAAGTGTGAGAAAGTAATGTAAGTGGTTATTATAAATTGCATACATTGTGCATGTTTTGTGGTTTTAAAATATGTCCACTTTTCAAATTGTTTAAACTGCAATTCTCTGGCATTTTTTTCTCAGGTATAAAATTAGTTTCCTTTCTTTTTTCTTTTTCCTTCCTTTTTTTTTAAGTCTGGTATTCCATGCCTGTAAGGAACAGCCATTTCATTTTTGCAGTTACTATATATTTAAGGTTTCTTTACTTCCCCAAAATAGCTGAATTTTTTTTCCCCAAACTGAAAATCAGTTTTAGGTGTTGAAGTGTATCTCAAAGCATTTCTCGAGAGCTAATGCTCTCCCTAGACTCCCTATTTTTCAAAGACCATCTGCTCCTCAAAGCCCCACGCTGGAAGGCTTGTGAAGAGCAGTAATTTTTGTTTCATATGGGTGTTGTCAACCATAACTGTCAAAGAGCATTGTGGTCAGTCAGCTCATAGCTTGTGGTCTCACAGATGGG